TAACCATGATTTATTCTATTGTTTAATCATCATCAAAAATAAACAAAAAACTTAAAAATCAATTACAGATAGAGGAAAAACCAGAGACCAGACTAAATTTAGCTATTGATTATTAAGTGGATTATATACAATAAAACGGGTATAGATATAAATAAAATGTAATTTTCTTATTATTTGGTCTTAAAAACTGTTATTTTTCGGGATTAAAAAATGAATGTGTTGTATAAAGTATGAATGAACAACAGTTGATGTGAGTTATAATAGTAAGTTTATTATTATTTATTATTATTTATTATAAAATATTGTTTTTTTGTTCAACCTTGTTCAACTTCAACCATTCAATTAAATCGTTAAATTCATTTTTTATGAATTTTTGATTTGATCCCTGGTTTTCCTGTATCTGTAATAATTCATTTTTTGATAACGAATTTAAATCGAATTGAAATTTTGAATTTCCATAATTGACAACAATTTTGTTGAACTCCCCCATCCCAATTGCAGCTTCGACGTCACATGAGCGAAAACCCGTTTTAAAAACTATTTTCCCGTTTAAAGTTAAGAAGAAAACAAATTTATTTTCATTCACAAGTTTCTTAATACCAACACCAACAACATATACCACATCAACCGACTTTCCATAGTAAGTTTTTGTGTTGAAACACGTGTTATTTGGATATCCATGATAAATCATCCCATCATCACTGTGATATCCAATCGTGTATTTACACCACCCAACTTGAACATCGTTATATATCATATTATTAGTACCTATCAGACCAATACTAACAAGACTATATCCAGTCACTTCAACTTCAAAATAGCGGACGTTCTCTATTGTCTTTTCTTCATTGTTTTTATCAATGAATTTCATTTTCTTTTCAACGTTCTTTTTGTTGAAAAAATCAAATGAAACTGCCATATCATATTCGTCCTCTGCAACGTTGATATCACGTTGAATTGAAGCACCACACACATCAATACGCCGACTCATCGAAACAAATTTTGACATAACCCATATATCATCAACATGTGCTGTAATTGGATATTCAAATGTATCAAAATCTACATAATCAAAACCAAAATAATTATTACAGAGAGCTGACAAGTAAATTCCACCAAAAGTGACACCATGTGTTCGACTGATGTGCACTACTTTGTCTTCAAAAGTAAATTGTGGAAATTGCACACAGTTTGAGTTGATCACAGTGAGTCGTTTTAAATTGACAAAATTCTTGGTGAACTTAATATTGTAAACTTGGTGAATAAAAAGTGTTTCTAAATTGTTTATTTTGCAATTAAAATTGACATCTTCACTATCGCATATATCAAGTTTCCTCAATTGTGGTATTTTGCATTTTTCAGCAAACGTCACATTCATACAAGACTTGATTATTAGTCTTTCCACATTACCAAAATTGTTTGTGAAATTCAAACAACAAAAATCATTAATACTAAGCGTCTTGAGATGTGAAAAGTTGATATTATAGTCACCCGCCAAAAGGTATAAATTTCCGACAAATGGTCTAAAGAAACCATATTATAGTTTTTTGAAATTATGATTTTAGATTGTGTTTCAATTTGACATTTATTTCTTTATATTGAAAGTATTTCAAAATAAACTAAAATTTTACTAAATTATAATATGTTGTCAAAAATAGATTAAAGGTGAACTGAAAAACAATTTTAATGGATAATGCAGTACATGTGCATTTATTTGGACAATACCAGAAAAACCAAACCTGCAACTGGGATGGTTTTCGGCAATTCAACCAATTCTTTGGATGTATTAGATTAATTGTGTTGCTCGCTCAAATTAACATAATTTTTGCAAGCTTAACTCAATTTGCTTCTCGTTTCCTTCAAGTTCTTGATTTGGGGATATTTGGTGGGCTTAAAAGTTTAATGTCTTATTTTAAAGCGAAAGACGGTTTTGCAAATTTGCTTTTTCAAGAAGAAGTCGAGAAGGAAAATGTGGATGGTAATTTGTTTTAGAAAAAACATTTTTCACAATATTGAACTCGGAAACAGACTAATAGTTGATGATATTGGTGGATTCTTTATTTGTGGTTAAAACACCTCCTTTTAATATTATTGCTTTTAAACAAGCTGTCACAGTCAACTGGATTGACAAAACACCCCAAAGTGTCATGTATTAATTGATTGCCGTTATCTTTTAAACCAATTAAAAAGCTTGACAAAAATTGATTCAATGTGATTTTTTTGTTTTTTGTTTTTTTAATGTTATTTGTGTTATTTTCACTGTTTTTTACAATTATAGTTTAAAATAATAAATTATAGTTTCTTTAGACCATTTGTCGTGTTTTTATTGCTTTTAGCGGGTGACTATAAAATTTATTTTCTTTATGGTTTCACTGGTATAATATTTATTAAAAGAATAAGTGAGGGTACTAACACACACAGGTATATTCCAATTATTACAAAATTTGTTGTTTGTGATTATTATTTTAATCGATTGCGCGTACATATCGTTTATTAATTTGTTGATAAAATCATTCATTGTATCCCCCTCTATAAAAAGACGCCCCTTCACGCACATAATTCGGTTGTTCCATTTTTGACACATATCGCTTCGACACGTCTCATAAATATACGTCGTCTTTTTGAACTCATTTAACAATGTCTCATCTTTGGGGTGATGAGCCACTTTAATAAACACTTTGTACTGTTTAGTGTTGGGGAGAATCATTTCCAATTTCTTTAATTTGTCTATAAACTCTTCTGTCAATTCAATTGGTTTATTGTCACATTCACTGATATACACTTTCTCTGGAAGGCGCAGATGTTTTTCTTGACCATTATCAGTGTATTCGTTTACATATTGTATGAAATAGTCCATGTCAGCCTCTATATATCTCAACGATGTCAAGTACTTCGAGTATTTTAACAAAATTGGCAGTATTTTCATACAATTGTAAGGTTTTGTCATGTTGAAACATTTTTAATAAATTCATTCTCGTCACTTTGGGAAAAATGGTTTTTGCAAAATTTTCATTCATTATTCCTGTCTGATATAAAGCACTGAAATTGACATTGCGAAGTTGTTTTGGTAAAAGAAAGAGTTTTTCATTGTTGAAACAATAAAATCCCAAATCAATAGTGTCGGGGGTAAAATGCTTTAAAAACCAGAGAATAGAAGAATCTACCATGAAGACGGGATTTACTTTTAATGAGTTAAGCGCCAATAGACACTTTTTGCTTACTTGTAAGATATTGTATAAATCAATTTGATTCAAAAATTCAAGAGAAATTTTCATTAGAAATACCATTTCTAATTTAACTCCCATTTTTTGCTTTTTGAATTTCATTAATTATATCTTATTATCAAAAAAACTCAGTTTAAATTGTTCCGTTCCATTATTGAATTATTTATTGTAATTTTATTTTTTTTGTGTAGTAGTATATAAATTATGCAGATTTAGGACACCCTCCATTTTCTTCAATTTTTTAAATAAAATCGCGAGGGGGGACGGATCTTTTAGATCCTAAGGCTCAGAGAGCCGCACGCGAATCTGAATTTTCACAAAATTCTGAAATATAGTAAATTTATAGTAATCTAAGTTTTATAGTAAATTTATATTAATGTAATTTTTTATCTTCCTTAAAATGACAGAACAGTATATGAGTGAAGCGTTTAGAAAGTATATCGAGCTTTGTCCTTTACGGTTCTTCGGAGACATAGTCTCCTTGAGGACCTTTGGTCCGTTCGAACCTGAGGAACGCGTAGCGGCATCTCCGATGCAGCGAAGCTCCGTACGGTTCTTAAATAATATTATTTTGGATGAAGATGTTGATGAATTTATAGATGATTCTGAAAACGAAAATTATAGTGAACATGAGGATGAAAATTTATGTGAGAATAATGGAGAACCTAATAATGAAGATATTATAGAAAATCAAAATTATTCTGATGATGAATCAAGTGAAGATATAAATGATTATGTTTATTATAATGAAGACGACAATAAAGTAGTAGCTAACTTAGAATGTGATTCCACTAAATTTAAAACAAGAATTAATAAATTTAAAGAATACTTTAATCAGTTTATTAGAAATAATAATATAAAAGATATAATTGTAAAATATTTTGTTAGTCCTAATGTTATTTAAAAAGGTTATGAAATATCAATGTGTTTAAATAATAAAGATAATTATCAAAAATTTCAAAACTTTATGGATCATGGTTATTGTAAAGGAAAAGATGGAAAAATATTTTATGTTAATGAAATTACACTTCAGGTAATTTAATAGATATTTAATAGTAATAAATTTTACATCTTATCCGAAGACATTTATTGAGTATGTTATTTTTATAGTTATCATAATAATACTGTTATATTACTTTAATAATAATATATTTAGTAATGTATAAATAATATATTTTTATTTTTATCTTAATATAAATGAGTGCAGATAACGAAGTCGGAACACGTACAAAACGAAGTTCCTCAGATCCGAAGGATCGTAGTGGCGTCCCAGACGCAACGCGTAGCGGCATCTTCGATGCAGCAAAGCTCAATACTTCTCAATCAAAATCAAAGTAATTAAAAACATTTTTCAAAAATTTGTTATCTTCAAACAAAACAAATCAAACTACAAAGACTGACCCATTAAAACAAATAGATACTTCTGAAATTATTAAAATAAGAGATACGACACAAAGAGGAATAGAAGACACAACGCGTAGCGGAAAGGAGTATCCAGAACAAAGTTCCAGCAAAGCTTCAACACCAAAAACAGTATTTGGTATGTCTTATTCTCCAAATGACGAAAGTGAAGATGAATATTATATCGATGAGAAACTCATGCCGAAGGCTGAGCGAAGCATCGGCACATCTTTTAGATGTGGTGAAACTTTATCTGATATTACTTCTAAACATATTATAGCGTTACAGAAGATAATAAACAAATACAATTTAAAAGAATTAGATATGTTAAAACAATGTAACAAAGAAATCAATAGATATATTAATAATAATCCAGAAGTTAACTCAATCAATACTAAAGATTTAAATGCTACTATTTATATAAATGGTTATGTATTTTGTAAAATTAAAGGTAAACAA